TTTTCCCCGAAAGGTGGCGCTAGTTGCAAACATTTATTCATTTGGAAATTTTACTATTCGTTTCATCGAGTGAAAAAATAATAGTATCCCTTCTATTTCTATATAAAAAAAAAGCCAACCGTCTTGTTCCTATTGTTAGTGATGTTTTGAAAAATAAAATTATTGTATATTTTTCTCAGATACTCGTTCAAGCAATGTCGCTTTACAAGGCCTAATAATTTAAAGTACGAGCTGTTGTGATGCAAATAGATCTAACTCCGCGTAGCGCACATGTTTGTTTGTTGTTGTTTTCTCTCTTTTGGGGGGTTTGTTTCTTTTTTGTTTTCTCTCTGGCTTTCAACGTATAAAAAACATAAACCTCGGTATATGTGAGAGTTTATGTTATTTGATATTTAAAAAAGACAATGAATATCACCAACTCGTCAATATACATTTGCACTATTTTCAATAGCGTATTTAGAATCAATATTGTGGAGTCCTTTGTCGCCGCATAATTGAAAGAAAGAATTGGGGGTCGTCAGCAATGAGGCTACATCGCTGATAGCGATGCGCCTAAAAAAAAAATACATGAAAATTGCCAAAAAAAGTTTAGGGTCAGGGATGTAAAATAGGGACGGTCGGGTAACAGGAACCACACATATTTTTTTATTTGGCCTAATTAACTTGTTTCAAATTTCATTGATAATTTTATGTAAGCAAATATTGCATACAGAATGAGGTCCTGACTTTGAACCCGTTGCATATTCAATGACTTGTTTGTAAATATTTGCATTGAATTCAAATTCAATATCGAATTGAATTCATACAAAAATGACTCCCACCATATGGCATGCCTAAACAAAGATTGTGCTAAAATTTCAAGCATCTGCGCTGAGTAGCTGCTGTGAAAACTGATGAAAATTTGGTACGGACAGATGTACGAATAAACAGGAAGTTGAAATCATATTCGAATAAAAATGAATCCCACCATATGGCATGCCTATAATAAACAAAGATTGTGCTAAAATTTCAAGCATCTGTGCTGAGCAGCTGCTGTGAAAACTGATGAAAATTTGGTACGGACAGATGTACGGATAAACAGGAAGTTGACATCCGATTCAAATAAAAATGAATCCCACCATATGGTATGCCTAACAAAGATTGTGCTAAAATTTCAAGCATCTGTGATGAGTAGTTGCTGAGAAAACTGCGACAAAAAAAATTTATTACCGACAGACACATGCATGGAAACACAGACAGACAGACACCCAAGGGTAAAACAGTATACCGCCCTCTCCTTCGGAACGGGGCTATAATAAATAAAGCAAGCTCTGAAAATAGCTTACCATGAAAAAGTTAGCTTATTGTTAGGTTTACGAATAGCATTTGATGAAATGTGAAAATAAGAATACGGAATAACTTCTTAACAAGTTGGGCACAATTCCCTTCTTTAGTAACTGTTACGCTAAAAGGGAATTGCTCCCCTTTTCAGTAATAAAAAACATTACTGTATAAGGGAATTTTCATCATATTTTTAAAATAATGCAAGAAATCCGTTTATCAATTTAATAAAAAGTGCATGAAAAATGCAATGTGATGCATTTAAACTTTATTACAACAACCTCGCTGACAAAAATTTTCAATCCTGTAGTGCTGCAGATGAAAGTATGATGAGGCCAAACAAAAAAATATGTTTGTTTACTGTTACATGCTGAAAAAAAATAGGGTCGGTAGGTAGGAATTTTTTTTTATTTTATTGAATTTTTTTATTTACAAATTCACATGAATTGGTTGAAATACAAAACAGTTTTACTATTGTGTGATGCTTTACTTTTGTTTGGGCTTGCCATAGGGGCGATAGACAATATTTCTTGTCAACTGCCTTACAGCTACCACACAGTGGTAAAACTGTTTTGTATTTATTCTTTAATTCCCTGTTGCACTGACTAATCAATTTAGCGTTTTCCCCAAACAAAATTTAATGCATGGGGGAATTTTGCTGAACTGACGGCGTGCAGCATGTCTCGGTTGAGTTACTTGTACATGTATCTGAATCTATATATAAGTGAAAATTACAAATGCATTACAAGTATTCATTTACTTTTTTTTTAAATTTAAATGATAAATACATTTTAAATAAATTGTCAATTTAACTTAAAAAAAAATAAACAATTGATTTCTTTTTTATAAAAATAGATCAAATCATCTTTTTTTGGAGGGTGGGGGTATTTTTATTGTCCTCTAATTTGCCACTGTCTTTTTATGTGCTGTTTTATTCTTGTTGTCTACAAACTGAATAGGCCCTATAGTGACCCCCTTTTTTAAATTTACTTCATTTTTGGCTGTCCCTACTTTTACAGTCATCTTTAAACAAAAAAGGGTGCACACTTTGTAGCACCAATGACAACATGTTTGTTTTTCAACGTAAGCTGTTGAATGTAGGTCATTGTGTATTAAAGCATGTGCGCTTGACCGAAGTACTAGCCCATAGTTCATAGAGTAAATAAACAATGATAATGTTTATAGGACATGTTTATTTTAAGCATATATTTATGCTAAATATGGTTTAAGAATTATGTGTTTAACTAATGAATCCTTTTTGATGTCGGAACATAAATGCTATTTATAGAATGACCTGGAAATGTTGGAAAATAACAAGTGTATTACTTTCACGGTGTATACTATCTTACAGCAATTAATTAATTTTTCATGGTTATAAATATTTTAATCAAATAAAAACTTAATGTTTAATAACATACCAGTAAATTGCAATAAACATAAATTGAAAGCTATTGCATCATACCCCATACCGTGATTTGCATCGAGTTTACCACAGGTACGCAACATGTTTGTAGGATTCTAGTGATCTGAATTGTTTTATTAATAGATTAATAACTGATAACATTCAAAGTAAATCATCTTCTTTAAAAAAAATGTATACCATTAATATTTCATGCATAGTGGGAAGCATAGCGGCAATGTCTGATGCATGGCGGGAGATCTTGAATGCATGGCGGTATCGCCATGTAAAAACAGCCTGGGGAAAAAATTGTGATAATTTATTCGAAAGTACTAGAAATAGTCTATTTCTAGTACTTTCGATTTCAAACAGTTGACCGATTAAGATGCATGTAAAAGTTTAACTGACCGATGAGTGACTTCTGGATTTTTACGACGAAAAAAAATTTGGGTCGGCGATTAAATATAGAGTCGGTCGGGTAACCGTAAACAAACATATTTTTTTGTTACGCCTGAGAGTTAATCAGACAAATTGTGAGTATTCTTGCAACAGATGTGAATTTTTCACTTGGAAGTATATTATTATTTGTTCAAAAATGGAATATTTCAGAGCTTAGCTTTATGGAAGTGACATCTTTTGAACATGCATAGGAATTTAAACTCACATGCAACAGTAATCCACAACTTTTACATGTTTTAAAATACTTTAATTTTCTCCGCTGAAAAATGATATAAAAGTATGGAATCTTATTACGGCATTCACTCTATAAGGCCAGGTAAAATTAATCTTTAGATTCTCATCCCCGCCCGCCCCTCTCAAAGTGCCCCGCCCCGTTGTTTTTTATTTTGCTTTTTCGGTGCCAAACGTATTATTTTCATGTATTTTTATTCAGCAAGAATCTGGGTCAAAATTTAAGAGTTATCTCCCGTCTGTATTAAAAGTCGCGTGGCGCTATTTATAGCAAAAAAAAACTATGTGAAGAATGGAGAAATATCGGCAATAAAAGCAGTTTAAATATGTAAGGAAAAGATAATTTATCAGTAATGAGAAGGCAGAAAAGCAAAAATAACATATAAACACATCTAGATACCATCACTGGTATGGGCAAGTTTTTAAAGAGATTTTAACTGAGTAAAAGCAGACGAAGAAAATGCACATGGTCAAGTTTTAAATAACGATCTCCAGTTAGATGTGATTTTGCATTTAAAAAATAAAACATCATCCAAAGACTTTAGAGAATAACAGTGCTAAGGAAATGTTAAATCTTAAACCTGTTCAGGCCTAGGCTTTTCAGTAGAATATTTTACAGATTTACACAATCCTGATTTGCAAATATGATATATTTAATGTCGAACATGTCGAGTCTCAAGAACGATTGAATGTATGAGGACAGTGGAAATCTGTGATATCTGTATATCACACAGAACAGAAGGAGTTGTTGGTAAAACTATAAGGTATTTGGGGAAAGGCCGATGAGAAAATATGCATATGCAATTTATTAGGATCAGCACCTCATTTTGTTTGGCTTGTGCTGTATAGATCTGTGTACTTGATTATTTGTTAATAAAACTATAAATATTTTAATTTTCTATAACAAGAATCTTCTGTAGATATTTAAAAGAATATGAAAACAATAAAATCTATTCATATTGGCATTAACATAATGTAAAAATTAAGTGTACACGAATGTGTTGTTGATACTTTCATTTATAAAAAATAAAAAATAAAATCCGCCCACCCGCCCCAATTTTTCAGCAAATTAGGATGAGAATCTAAATTTTAAATTTATATGGCCTAAAATATCTTTTAAAATTTAATATTTAAAATAATTTGCATCTGTAAAAGAATCAGTGGTATTTAAAAAATATTTTTACAATGTCTTTGAAAGAAATGATGTATAATGAAATAAGAATGATGATTTCATGTACTAGTTAGCGAGTGCTGAACGTATTCAATCTCACATTTTAATACCGATAGGCTTCCTTAAGAAATCTATATCGTAGAAATATTTTATCACTATTTTCAGCATTATTGTAATTTTAAGCATACATACACTTATTAATAATAGAGTATAAATTTTTAGAGGATATGTGAAAATATTCTTGCACTTAATCTTTTCCTCAAAGTAAACACGAGAATAGAGGGGAAACGAGTGGAAATACCCTTATACGATAATGCTTTTTATTACTGAAAAGAGGGACAATTTCCTTTTAGTGTAACAGTTACTGAAGAAGGGAATTGCTCCCAACCTATTTACATGAAACACCGGTATTATACCCACCACAAATGCTAGGTATGTAGTGAATCTGATTATCTTCTTGTTCCTGTGGGACGCTAGGTATTTTAGGGAATACCACCACGTAAATAACATCTCCCCATGATCCCTCTGGAGGATACAAGAAACCTTCATTGAGCCTGACGCCTCTGAAATTGCCAGATTGTGGATTCCTGTACTTCAGACCACAGGCTCCTGGAAATTGTGCCGATAACGTTGACAGCAAAAGGGTTCCGTCCTCTTCGCTTGGTATTTCTACTGGCTCGTAACCTTCACTTTCTGAGACCTGAATATATTGTTCTGACATGATTTTCTTTTGAAAACCTTCCAGTGTCAGCAGTTCAATTGGGGGAATATTGTGAGAGGTTTTAGAATACGCATGCGTACTTTCACCCGATGCCGATATGCCCCTGATTTACCGAAAGGCACCATAAAACTACCAAAATCCTCTAAAAACATAAATATTTCTGGTTATTGTGGTAGATAGTGGGTTTAATATATAAAATTTTATCTTTGAAAGGAAAAAATATTAACAAATATATTTTTTCTTAAATAATTGTGTTTATCTGAGAAAGATAACTCTGTAACCTTAGTTGCAATTGGATCACCTCGCCCTTTTCCACTGTTTTCCGTCGCACGCTAGAAAAAAGCTTGCGACGGAAAAGGGCGAGGTGATCCGATTGCTTTAGTTGATCATCATGATCATTTCTTCGAAATTTTTCAATGCTGATATTAAATGTAATGATACTTTAGATTTATCGTTTTGGGAATACATGTATAACCTTGGTAAATTTTTCTCCAGTCTGTCAAAATGTTTTTTGGAGAGATACAGTTCTGCAGCTTGATATTTGGTAGATAGCGTTACAGCGGTAGATAAATTAGTAGTCCGAAATATCTGACGTTTTCCAGGCTTTATTTCACGATTTTGATATTTTACGTGCCAGGAAAACGTCAGCATGGTCAGAACCGGCGCCATTACAAAAACTGGAAATTTCATCGTCTCCAACCGGAGCTGATTTTCGATACTTGCAAACTGAATTAAATGCCTAACTTACTATTTATCAGTACCACAATGCTTCTAGTACTCACCAATATCGATGAAAAGAAAATATCACTCCACATTTCGATTTGGTCTTGCAAGATTTTAAAATGCACGAAATTAAAAGAAAACTCGACCGTCTGGAAAGATGTTTTCATCAGATTGTATATTTCATAAACAAACCCATATAAACGATGTTGGTGAGTACTAAAGACATTGTACTATAAATAAGTTGTGGATTCAGCATTTACTGTTTAATTCGGTTCGCAAGTATCGAAAATCAACCCGAGAATGCCGCCTCCAGTTGGAGGCGGCGAATTTCCAGGTTTTGTAATGGCGCCGGTTCTGACGTTTTCCTGGCACGTAAAATATCAAAATCGTGAAAAAAGCCTGGAAAACGTCAGATACTTCGGACTAATAAATTAGCAGTAGTTTGAATGGTTTACAGTCAACTCGTACCCAAACCAAGTCGTACCCAAACCGACTCGTACCCAAAGAGTGAAACACTACATAATGCCATACGATATGATGCCATAAAATTTGTAAAGTTTATTATGGTTATATCCATAATGTTTATTACTTACTTGAAAAAAAGATTTTTTAAAATGTAAAATTTACGTCTCACAATTTGTTGTTTGTATGTTGTTGTTTTTGTTTTTGCTATCTTATAGTGTGACAAAATCAGAGAAAATAGAACTATTTATATAGTCATTAACAATACACATTAAGAAATAAAATACTAGAATCATACAAACTTATATATTTACCCTTGAAAACAATTAATTGTTTCTTTTTATGATTTAATTTTTGAGCTTTGGGTACGAGTTGACGCTAGGTTTGGGTACGAGTCGGTTTGGGTACGAGTTGACTGGATACCGTTTGAATACCGATCCCGATGTACACTATCATGTAAAGATTAACGTTACTTCTACAATAAAAAGAATCATAAAATATATTTTTGACCCTCGTTAGTCAATGAAATAAGGGGTCTATTCCTTATACAATGTTCTTTATCATGTTACATTTTTCATTTGTCCATTTGAGCATTTTTTTTTCGTTTGAGGTTCCTTTGGGTAAAAGGAAGCACCCCTCAAACTCAAAGCGGGAGAAGCGAAAGTAGCCATAATAGACAAAACCAAGTTACTCGCAGCAATGGAAAGCGAAAAGCCTGCACTTACGCAGGTTTCTGTTATGTCTCTTGCATTAACAGCTGTATTTGCCACTGGAGCAATTATTTTTGCCCATAGTGTAGGAAGATCTCTCTCAAGGGTTTACAAATTAGTAATTGCTTGGCTATTTTTTGATGCGCTGATTCACTTTACTTTGGTAAGAACGTATGATTTCGTGTAATTTTTCGTCACAATTTTCTAAATATAGTAATCAGATGGCATTTTGCTTCCTGCCAAGGATGGAGATAAATAATTCGTGTCATATTTTACTGTACATTTTAGGTTTAGTTATTGTATGATTACCCCCCCCCCCCCCTCTATCTGTAGGTCTGTAGCTCGCTGGTCTGAAAATATTGTGATGGACGACCAGAGAGCTACAGTGCCACCCATTGAAAAAAGTGTATATTTAATGCCCAGAAAAAAATGTGCTGTTTCTCGATTTCTTTCTCTGTATATTTAAGTGCCATCTCAAAGTATTACAAACCGTGTGGTTCTAACATATTTTTCACTACTTCCACAAAAAAACATTTTCCGAAACTATTGTTAATAGTCCTCCTGGGCCTGAAATGGAGACAATCGTAAATGTCACCTATCTAAAATAGGGGTGCAACGATACACCTGGTGCAACCTCACAATACAATACGTATCACGGTATTCAGTTCATGATATGATACGTATCATGATACATTACAAGGTTTAGAAGTCTTAACTTGACAGGTTTATATCAAATGTTCATATTTTTGATAATAATTTAATATCAATTTGTTAACTTGAATTGGATGGATAGATCTTTGAGAGTTGTGACAACATTCTAAACCAAAGACGAACATTTACAGGGAACTACGAAGACCTTTCTCATAATCTTCCTTTTATACTGGAATGAAAAAGGAAGACATTCATTCATTTCTTTCATTTAAGTAGATAATCAGTTGTCATATTTTTTGTGTTAACACGTTTTAGTCAACAAGACAGCGAATTTTCATCGAAATACGCACGGAATGAGATATTCTGTATTACAATAGAATACATTTAGATCTAAAGGTAGGGATGCGTGATTTTATCAGTATACCAGTATATCACGATTGCGTGTATGTAACGTATCGTGATACGAAGACTAAAATACCGGTATTTGGTACATAACTATAAATATTCATTTATTCGTTCAATCTATTGAATGACAATTGCAGGAAGTGTAAAAAATGTTGAAAACAGTTAAACAACTACATCCAAACATTCTTTATATTAAATAAATAAATATTTAAACAGTAAAGTTATGTTTTTATTATAGCATATTTTTAGGAAATATTATGGAAATTCATATGAAATTGTTGTAAAAATTGTATGTAAAAATATCACGATTTATCGTGATATTTTTGGTAAAAAAAATTGTGATCAGGGTTCTCCACAAGGGGTTTTACCATGGCGGCCCGCCATGGTTAAATTTATGTGCGCCATGGTTAAACGAGCTGCGCCATGGTTATAATGGGCGGCCGTCATGGTTAAATTTTTATTGCATTTTAGTATTTACACCTACTTTTTAATGACTTGAGTAGTTAATTGTGTTTATACTACGACTGCCATGCATCTGGCATGCCTCGAGGGAAAGCGGACTGTGGAAACAAACACGGTCGCTGATCAGCGACTATGCTGGGAAGCGTGACAATGGAGGATCAATCAGCTGAAGATCAATATCTTGAGAATTAATTATCCTGTAGTATACAAACATGTAATTTCGGGAAATTCCAAGGTGTTCACTATTTGATAAAAGATCATAACGAGCAGTAGGTATGCCCAGAAAAAAATGAGCCCTTTCAAAATTTCCTATTCTTTGTATTTAATCAATTCCTCATGCTCTGTTTTCAAGTATTAACTCTATTATCTTTCTGATAAAATGTACGTAAGTGCCAATCATCGTCTTAGTTTTAGAGTTACCTCCCGTTTTTATGAAACTTCGCGTGGCACTTTTCTTAGCACGGGCACGTGGAGGAATAAACAATGGAGGAAACTCAGTGAAAATGCAATATGTAGAAAAAATAACGTTTAGAGAAAGACAGAATAGAGAAAGCAAAATTACATTAATGCAAATTAATGCCCCCCGGTTGTACTAAGTTACTTTTACCATGTATGCCACCAGTAAGTTTTCATAGATCATGCAGTTAAAAAAAGCTTAGGCATTAGTAGGATGTCGGCTTTCTTTTGTTTGTGTGTCTGTTAACTTTTTTTTAAAGTACTACCAATTCATCAGTTTTTGTCATTTTTAAATAAAACTTTTTATATAACAGGCAACATCAATTCTGTATATCAGTTTTTGAAAACTGTTGCCATGGTTACTCTATCAAAACATTATTTTGAAATTCCTTCAAAATTTTCCTACAGTTTTAGACCAATTTTGGTACATTTGTAGAGTAATTAAGATACATAATCCTTTTTATTTTTAATTTTTTAGCTTAAAAAATTATTGGTTATTTCAACTTTTTGTGCTGCAGTGGTTAAGTTTTGTGAATTAACCAATTGATTAATGAAGGTTAGGAAGTCTAACATGCATTCGTGTTTTTGGTTGCATTGCGCCTTCGCGCAGCTTCCTCCATGGTTAAATTTTCAAATGTGGAGAACCCTGGTGATATATCACAATACGAAATTTCTGTGGATACCCATCCCTATCTAAAGGGCTGATCATTTGTATTAACATCTATAACTTTTAATCACATTAGGAATGAGATAAAGTCCAAGTTCAACATGTTAAATCTGAGGTTTGTAAGTGCTGGATATGCATGAGTTTAACTGCCGATATAATAGATAAGGCATTTTCGTCGACCTCATGTTTTGCGCTGAAGCCATTTTGAAATTGTAAACAAGCTAGGAAACAAAACAGACAATTTGGATAAGTCTGGACCGATTGAACCGAACCGCGATATCAGTTTAGCATATCGTGAATTGAACCGTGGAAAAATATACCACGATATACCGACAAATGGTTTATCGTTGCACTCTAATCTAAATTGCCAACTTGGGTGGCAGGACAATTCGGCTTAACACATTTCCTACATGACTTGTACATACAGTTTTGTTGTGGAAGTAGTAGAAAAATATGTAAGAATACCAGGGTTTGTAATATTTTTATATATACTTAAGAAATAAACAACAATGTTAAAAAGTTCTCTGGGAAATGAACTTGGTTGGTCATGTGATCAAATCCTGTGAAGCCCTGAGAAGCCAGTCGGGCTTCACAGGATTTGATCACGTGACCAACCAAGTTCATTTCCCAGAGAACTTTTTAACATTGTTGTTTGAGCTTTTCTGATCACTTTTTGTCCGGCGTCCATCGGTCTGTCCGTCTGTCTGACCGTCTGTCTGTAAACTTTTAGCATTTTTGACTTCTTGTCAAGAACCACTGGGCCAATTTCAACCAAACTTGCCACAAAGTATCCTTGGGTGAAGGGGATTCAAGTTTGTTCAAAGGAAGGGCCATGCCCTCTTTTAAGGGGAGATAATAAAGAATTAGTAATAAACTAATAGCACCTTTAAAAAATCTTCTTCTCAAGAACCACAGGGCCAGGAAAGATGAAACTCATGTAGTAGCATCCTCAGGTAGTGTAGATTCAAGTTTGTACAAATCATGACCCCCGGGGGTAGGGTGGGGTCACAATGGAGGATCAAAGTTTTACATAGTAATATACAGGAAAAATCTTTAAAAATCTTCTTCTCAAGAACAGCAAAGCCATGATGAGTCATACTTATATGGAAGCATCCTCAGATAGTGTAGATTCAAGTTTTTTCAGATCATGACCCCTGGGGGTAGGGTGGGGCCACAATGGAGGATCAAAGTTTTACAATGAAATATAAAAGAAAAATCTTTAAAAATCTTCTTCTCAAGAACAGCAAAGCCATGATGAGTCATATTTATACGGAAGCATTTTCAGGTAGTGTAGATTCAAGTTTGTTCAAATCATGATCCCCGGGTGTAGGGTGGGGCCACAATGGAGGATAAAAGTTTTACATAGAAATATTTAAGAAAAATTTTAAAAATCTTCTTTCTGGAACAGCAAAGCCCTGATTGGTCATATTCATGTGGAAGCATCCTCAGGAAGTGTAGGTTCTATTTGTTCAAATCATGACCCCTGGGGGTAGGGCAGGGCCACAATGGAGGATCAAAGTTTTACATAGAAGTATAAAGGAAAAATCTTTTAACAGCAAAGCCATGATGAGTCATATTTATATGGAAGCATTCTCAGGTAGTGTAGATTCAAGTTTGTTCAAATCATGACCCCTGGGGGTAGGGCCGGGCCACAATGGAGGATCAAAGTTTTACATAGAAATATATAGGAAAAATCTTTAAAAATCTTCTTCTCAAGAACAGCAAAGCCATGATGAGTCATATTTATATGGAAGCATTCTCAGGTAGTGTAGATTTAAATTTGTTCAAATCATGACCCCCGGGTGTAGGGTGGGGCCACAATGGAGGAGAAAAGTTTTACGTAGAAATATTTAAGAAAAATTTTAAAAATCTTCTTTCTGGAACAGCAAAGCCCTGATTGGTCATATTCATGTGGAAGCATCCTCAGGAAGTATAGGTTCTATTTGTTCAAATCATGACCCCTGGGGGTAGGGCAGGGCAACAGTGGAGGATCAAAGTTTTAAATAGAAATATAAAGGAAAATATCTTCTGAAAAAGAAGTACAAAGCCATAATTAGTTATTTTGATATGAAAGCATCCTCAGGTAGTGTAGATTCAATTTTGTTCAAATGATTACCCTGGTATAGAGTGGGGCCACAATGGGGGATCGAAAGTTTTACATAAGAACATATAGAAAAAATATTTCTTTTCAAGAACAGAAAAGCTATGTTTAGTCATATTGATATGGAAGCATCCTTAGGTAGTGTAGATTCAAGTTTGTTCAAATGTTGACCCCTGGGAGGAAGGAGTCACAATGGGGGATCAAATTTTTACAAAGTAATATATGGGAAATTTTTTTTAAAAATTATCTCAAGTACAGCAAAGCCATTTGTTATATTGACATGGAAGCATCATCAGATAGTTTAAAATACAACCCGGCCCGCCGTATTGCTATGTTGTGACGCGCAATGACCTAGAAGCTGTTTGGTCTTGAGAGTTCGCCTCGCTCCAACATTTGAATACTTACATTGATGTTCCGCAGT